AGCCCAGCTATGCATTTGCACACCCTTCCTATTCACTCAACTGGTTCTCAACAACCAATTGTTTCATTCTCACAAGAGGATAGAGCTCATACGCTAACTACTTCTCATTTCGAGAATGTAGTTATTGAAACAAGTAGGCCGCTGCCCTAGCCTACTACTTCAATTCTGTGCACCTCGAGTCTAGAACCGATACACATAGGTACACATGAGTCAGGAGCATCTGTTGCTTCAAGTGCAGTTCTTAGTGAACTTGCTGGAACGACCAGAATGGTGTCTTTTGACATTTCACAAGGACAGGTCGGAAGTCCTACCAATGCTAACATCATGCCAACATTGAACATAGGCACAACAGTTTATTCAACTGTTGTTACAACTGGTATTCTACGTGAACCAGGAGTGAGTTTACCAGACTTCGTGTCAAGGGAATACCTGGACGGCGCCCTAAAGGCTGTTCAAGACAATATGGATGCTCAAATGGCTAGTATAAAAAGAATTTTGCAGGGGAAGGAAGTCGTAAACGAAGAGCCACCATCTGTGCCATCACCACCGCATGTTCCTGAACCATATGTACCAGATCAATCGGTGGATGAACTAAAATCGTTGCTTTTTGCAAAATTGATGGCGTCTCAAAATCCAGATGCTGAGGATGCAGATTTGGTTGGCCTCTTACGTCAACAATTAGACGTAAACCCTTTTGTTAGAGCCTCAGAGTTTTTGGCTTTCCAAGATGTGGTTACTTCTAGCTTTTCCAAAGTTAGCAAGTTGATCACATCTAACACCCAAGATCTTATAAGTTCAATAGACGCCCTAGCTGAACGGGTGTCTATATTAGAAGAAACCTGCAGGTCTCAGGCCATATCTCTCAAACGAAGGCATGACGATCAGGATGATCCAGATAGTCATGAGGGGGAGAGAAAGAGACAGAGATTGGTCGAGACATCTGAACAAGGTGCAAGGGTTGGTGACGAGCCATCAACTCAAGATGTTATTGATGAAACCTCTGCCCCAGAATCTATTCGGGAAAGAGTAATTGAGGCTATTGCTGTTGAAGATGAAGACATGGAGACAAGTCCTACGATCGAGCCAATGGTTGAAAAGCCGACGGTCTCCACGGTAGGAACAAGGATGCTATTGGACTTGTCTGCCAATGTAGGATTCAACGAGGCGTTCTCTACAACTCTGGGTGGAGAGCAAGATTTTGGAGAAGACATTGACAATATCGACGAGTCGACTGGGATCTATTTTGACTTTGAAGCAGATATTGATGATGAAGATCCAGTCTTTCCTGTCCAAGAAGAACGTCAGTCTGTTCCAGAATCTTCCACTGCAGCTTTACCTGCTCAAAGAGAACAAGTTGATCCAACTGAAATCTTCACTAGAGACTATGTGCCATTTCATACTAGAGCAAATTTTCCTGGATATGATCGAGCAAGGTTCCGAGAGCCATATCTAGAAGATATCTACTTTGGAATCTTCATCCGACATAGAAAAGTGCTAAGTGGCGACAAAGTTCTGGGTATTCATAAGCAGAAAAAAGAATATCGTATTGAATACCGACATCTTCTAAAAGCCAAGTGCCTACCGATTAGTGAAGTGCTTACAAAGCATCGGATCGTAACGATTAAACAAGACAGGATGGTCAGATTTGGAGGTTTAACGAAGCAGACTTCTCAAACTTATACCTAGATGACCTTGAATATATGTATTTTGAACTCAAAAACATGACGATCAAAAAAGAAGGAGAATTGGTTGCTCTTGAAGCAATCAAGAGATTTATACGCTGTCTTGTAAAACTGGCGATGGTCATTGATGTACAGATGGGCCTTGAAGATAATCAGTGAATCATCAATCTTAAAAGACC